TTGCTTTTACGAATTTTGTTAGGACTACCTACGCCATGAAAGGACGAAATTTTAAGTAACATTAGAACTAGACAGCTTTTCCATTATTGCACAGTGTAGAGACAGACCATGTATCCGAAAGTCCTAATAAAAGCTATTTAGTTTTAGTTTTATTCTCGAAAGAAACGTCACTCTTCGTCGATTTCGGGCGCTGCGGGGGGGGGGGGCATTTGCCAATGCCCCTTTCCTTGATCCGCTAGTGAGTACGTAAAATATGCAGATGGAGGATGTGAACACGCGGTAACTCACCATTGCCAGACGGCCGGAGGGTAGTTCCATGGTAGCGGTGCTGACCGCCTCCAGCAGCTGACTACACCGGCTGGTCCGGTCCGTGAGGACCTGTCCGTCACCTGCCCCCGGTGAAGTGCCAGCCAGGGGCGGCAGACGCGCCTCCGTCACCCCGGTCCGCCCTCCCAGCCAGTGGCGGCAGCCGCCGCGGTCACCCGGACCAGCAACGACACCGTCTGTCGACCCCGACGCGCCCGAGCCGTGCCGAAGCGTCGCTGCCGACGTCCGACGAGCGACTGCCCCGGGCCGCCGCACCTGGCCGTCCCGACCGCCGTCCCCATCGCCGCGGCCGGCGCAGCGTGCACGTGGAACACACGGAAGCAAGCCGGCTGTCCTCGGATGTCCGTAAGCGGATTTGCTCCCTGGGAGCAACCACAAGGCAGCGATATAGCTAATGACCATTTTATGAATTTTGAGCTAAACAAATTGCACTAGATTACCTCGCCGGACGAGGGGACATTGGTGCTGTTTCCTCATGAAACGTGATGGCTAGGAATGGGTCAATAATAGCTCGGCTTGGTGACCTGAGCGACTTTGGCAAGAACAAAATTTCGACCTGATGTAGAATGTCACTGTACGCTCCTGAACATTTCAAACACGATGGTTCCACGGCTCTGCGGCCATTTTGACCATTTTGACGAAATTATTTCCCATAAACCGGACCCTGCTGCCTATTGTGCCTTTAGACCTTTTAAACTGATCTCAGCGGTCACTGGCTGACCTAAACCTAAAAATTGGATAGGCAGGTAGGTATGCGCCAGTCGTTGGGACTCGTAGGTAAGTCGTAATAGCAGTAGCGCACACGCTCGTTTTTCGCGAAGTTCTAGCGCACCTAAGGGTGAAACAGCAAGGAGGAATGAGCAGCCCGAATCGTGATCATTCTTCCGTTCGGGACAGAAGAAACAGCAAAAGCAATCTGAATTCTGAACTCTGAAGACATTCTATTTAGGTACCTCGCTGCCGCTGGCGGTAGCTTATCGAACTGTCCATAGATGGCAGCAAAATCGAACGCCTGAATTTATGCTGTGCCGCATAGACCAAATTGGGTGTCTGGCCATGGATGAAGGAATCCCTTCATCCATGGTCTGGTTCTTGGCCACCCATCCATAAGAAGTTTAAATCGAGCGAGATGTTAAACAAGCCGGTCAGTTCTGAAAATTTGCTATTACAACTGGTGTATTAAGAGGTACAACATTTGTTTTCTTTTCAGATTTACGGATTATGAAGAACCGTTGGTGAAGGCTATGACGTCATTTTCTAGAATCATTTGTGCTACCAGATTAAAATTTTATGTATCAAAAGCGCCACTTCTGTCTATTCACATGCTTCAGGCGCGTAATGTGTTTGTGGTTTATATTTATATCTTTTTTTTTGCCGTAACTATCTTGATCTAGGTAGGTAGTGTGGATTTGGGTTTGAATGTGGCTGTAATTATATTGTTTTGAATACTTCGTTGCTTGTTTTTATACCTTTGGGAATCCCCGATTATCTTGGTTTATTGTTACATATTGGTAATTTCAAAGCTAGTGCGAGGACATTAAAATGACAGCTGGGAGGAACGTTGACGTGATCTGAAATGTAAGTTGCATTTTGGATGTATCAAATGTTTTTAATTTTTCCATTTTAACTCCATTCAATTTTCAGCCACCCATTTGTTTGGTTTTTGGGCCACGTAACACTCAAGTCTCAGCTTCAGTTTCTTTACAGTGCTCAACATTGGTTTGCATGGTGGCAATCACAATGCCCTGCATATTGTCATGGTCAGGTGCGTCGTGCGAGATGCAGTTATTTGGCGTCATAATGTTGTGCTTGGATGGGCACTCCATCCAGGACTGCCATCCACTGTTTGAGTACGTGCCAAATATAATGTTGGATTCTAAGGGCTGCGCGTGCCGCCTAATGTGCGATGAAGCACAGTCAGCTGAATATTTGGCAGCTGTTGGGTGCCAAATCATGCACTGATGACTCAAGATTACTTTGATTCACCTGGCTACTTGAAATACTTCACATTTTCAGCATGCAGGCACTGTATGATTACATGCAAAATGCATGCCTAGCCGGTGGACAGCCACCATTTAGGCTTTCAAACTATCTATGGTAGCAAGGTTTAGTATCTATTGGTCCAGCTGATATGGGTGTTGGAACTTTATGTAGCTAAAGGCATTTGGATTTCTGCTCACAATTGTAAAATGAAAGACTACTTCTTAGATGCCTACACACCAGTTTTTAATTTTTGCAGGTGTAAGGTTGAAGGTGCATCTCAAAACATCTGGCAGGTGCCCTAGTCTAAGGGCATGTTCAGTATTTCCTTAGATGAATCATATTATTCACAAAATACCTATTTTACATTGCTTTTGATTTTTTTTATGAAGGACAGAAGAAGGATATATTGGCACAGAATGGGGTGACTGGTGACATGGATGGCCATTTTGTGCACCACTTACACATTGTGCTTCAGTTTCAAGCAAACTCAACTCATGAACAGGTCCACAGCATGCTGCCAGCTGATTTACCAGTTGCCTCTAATCAAGGATTTGAACAATTGACTTTGAGATATCCTGTGTCACTATACAATAGGAAAGTAATGCTACAGTTTTCCCAAAGAAGAATAATATGATAAAAATATAGATATGAAAGAAGTTAAAAAAGGTGGTAGGTAATGAATTAACAATAAGTATAAAATAGCCTGAGTAATGTTTCCCATTGTTTCTTTAAAGTCAGGCTAAGAAGAATTAAAATGAGTGTAATGCCCTTGTCTCCTGTTGACCCACTGGGTGTGTGTTCCTCTCTGACTACCTGTATGTGTTTATAGGTATCTTGGCCTGTATTGCCTCACGGACGGTGTGCCGGCGTGTTCCAGGCAGCGGCGGCTGGCCGGGGCCGTGATGCCGGACATTGTGCCCAGCGTGGTGCCGGCCGTGCTGCCCGCCGTCCCGCCCGCCGTGCCTCCCGCCGTGCTGTCGGTCGTGCCGCCGGCGGACGGCTGGGATGACTCTGATGACTCTGAGGAGTACGACGGCGACTCGGGTGCCGGCGCCGAGGGAGACGAGGGGACCGCAGATGACGAGGCGCTGCTGGGGAGCGTCGGCTGCGGCCACCCGGTCCGACACCCCAACAGGTGAGTCCGGGAACCGCGGGGACGGCTAGGCTCAGTGGGCTGACTGTGGCGCACGGATCACACAATATGGGTCACTTTCTAATAAATTCACGCTTGTCTTGCTATCCGTCAATCCAGTCTTTACCGATGTCTGACATAATTAGGCTTTGCAGGCGCAACTTCGCGTGGATTTGAAACCCATCCGGCTGCGTTACTGCTGCATCCGTGTTCAATGAACGCCTGGTGTAGGGTGACAAAGGACGATCCTTATCAGGGCGCTCGGTCCGGCGTCAAATTGTTTAAGGTCCAGTGCATGCTTTGAACCGAATCGGAAAGTCAAAGTCCGGCGCCGTCTATTGGGGTTACATGAGTTCTGAGGCAGTGTTTATGTACTGGTCATAGATGATGTCAGCGCACTGACTGGTAATGAGACTGGTCCAGTGCCGATGGCCTCCAACTGTACTGCGGCTGTCAAGACTGGTTGATGAGTATCATGCATCGCGTTATAGGCCGGCTAGCAACACCGCACATCACTGGGATAAAGGGATAATGATGGGCAACCGTGCAAGGTAGGGCTATCGCATTACCTCTACATAGTGGCAATTAAGCCACAGCACCATGGTAGACAGCTGCTCCGTACCATATATAAAGAAATGCTGAGTTACTCTGGTGAAATGAGAGTAGCTGGCCTGTCCCCACCTTCATAGACGTCCTGGGGAACCTCTCATGAACCGATAAATGGTGCGTTGCTGATGTTTGGCTGTGACAGACTGATTTGTCCTGCCACCTGCTGACAGTCGCTCAAAACTACTCTGCTCAAACGCCAGGTGGCGGTGCAATCTCACCGTGAACATCTGAACGGTCGTGCGAGAACCAAAGATATAATTCGACTCCCACAATGCAACGATGTGCGTGATATAAGGTGTATGCCGTCCACGACTTCACATGGTAATGGTTGACGGCCCTCCATGTCCGTGGCCTAAGCAGCCCAGTTGGGGGATCGTCCGATCTACTTGTACATCAGCTGACTGGCGTTGTAGATAGACGAGAGTGGATGCTGACGGCCTCCGTTCAGGCGTTTCCATCCTCAGGATGCTGAAATCCTTCTCCTCCACGCCGCAACCCCCACTCCGGGCTAGACAGGCACCTTTATCGCATGCGGGCTGCTACCTTGGAGCGGCACCGTTGCTCCCGAGGGAGTACACCCCGTAGCCAGGTGCAGGGAGTGCTGGGGGGGGGGGGGGGGCTGGTTGGCCTGTCCATTCGGACAGGCTCAGCCCCGGTGACTCTCTAGGGTGTCTACCCAGACCAATAGACCAATGTCTCCCCCTAATTCCTATCATCCTTCCGGCTCTGAAATGGTCTTCTCAGACCAAAAGGGCCTGACCCAGCAAAAAAAAAAAAAAAAATGCTGACGGCAGCGGCGTCATTTTTTTGCATTTCTTAAGTCAGTTTTTGTATTTTGTTCTTTCGCGCTTGGCGTGCCAAAGTGAAGGATCAAAAATCGATTTAGCACACAAGTTTGCTAAAAAGGTTTTCTTCACTTTTCCTTTAAAAAAATCCAAGGCCTCCAAGATTGACTCGATTAACACCTGTAAGGTTGCTGCAAGGTATTATAGTTTTAAAGACGGCGGTTCGCGCCTGGCGATAATAATTCGGTATTGCGAGGGCTTTGTTCTGGTAATTTTGCTTCAGCTACATTGTTGGCACACGTTTGGCACTGGAGGCTTCCTCTCAGGTCGGCCGGACTTTGCCGCGCCGAATCTTGGCCGGCTATCTGAGACCACGGTCGGTCGGTCGGCCGTCCCATGAGCCCGGCCACTCCGCCCGCCGCCGCCGTGGGGACACCCAGTGACTGAGGCGCGCCGAGCTGTCGTGTGAGGAGATCCTGCTGACCGGGCCCGACCGGTCCGCCCGCCCGGCCATGGAGTCGCCGCGGAGAAAGAGTCTGGAGCCGCGGAAGAGTCTGGAGGCGCACAGTCTGGAGCAGCGCCGAGACTCGGCCGTGGCGGCCGCCTGGGGCCGGCTCAGCATCACATCGCTCCAGGCCAAGGCAGAGCAAGCGGCCGACGACGAGCCGCCCTCGTAAGACAGTCGGTCGGACGCGGGTGTTAAATGGACGGGAGCCGAGAGCCTGCTAGGTGAACGGGGACTTTGGAACGTGGCCTTTTTCCGATCTACCGTCAGAGATCGTGGTCTGGCTAAATAATAGAGTCGTGATCTGAGTAGACAGATCAACAGTCAACAGGGGCAGATCAATTGACTGTGCGCGAAGGGAACAATGCGTGCCTGCCTGATTTATGTTTCAGCTTTGCTGAACTTATGGTACCGACCGATGCGCATAAACACGTACTACGCCCTACGGCCTATATTCAATTTCCTTTTTGGCCAATGCGATTCCTGTTTTTTTTTTAGGGTTTATCTAATCGCAAAGCTCAAATTGGCCCATTTAATTTTGATAAAAGGTGCTCTTTTTTTGAGCTATCTAATTTCTTCGCACCTTCATTCGCTACCGTAATTTTACACACTTGCAGTTTTTTTAATGTTTTAATCTACATATTTCGTTATACGGAAAACATGCTATTGTACTAACTCATCCCGAATGCTCGTGGCTTTATCTTGCTCTATAAATGCATCCTTATCTAAGAAAACTGAGTCATTGATATGTGCGAGTCGACACTTGTCCCTCATCAATTACATTTTGTATCACACTCTCGGATCCTGCAAAGCGCACGGCCTGTCACTGACGACCCGTTCCCTGTTCTGCTCATTGTCAGGTCGACAGTGATTTACTGCATCTTCTACCTCCTCGGCATGGGCACGCTGCTGCCCTGGAACTTTTTCATCACCGCTGACTCGGTGAGTTATTGCTGTTTTGGTCTCATTGTGAATAGCGGCGACGATTTGTCTGTTAGCCCACCCTTGATTTGCTATTATGTTCTTCCTGGGCTGATTAAGCCTATTGCATGTCGCTGCTACTGTGGCGCTAAGCCCGTGTTTGCCTTGACAAATGCAGTGGCTTTGTTCGGCCTCAGACGGACTATCGGCCCGGCAGAGTTGAGTAGCCGGAGCAGTGGGGCCACTCGAGCTATCTGCGGGACCGGGCGCCCCTCTGAGCTGCCGATTAGTGTTATCGGGCCGGGCCTCTGCACTTCAGCGCCGCAGCCCGGCCCGCTCTGGTCGGGATTAGTGGGCGACTGATAGCCATTGGGTCCTCCGCGTGGCATCACGGGGGGGGGGGGGGGGTCGCAGGGGATGCGATCCAGACCGAGATCGTTAAAGATAGAAATAATGATAGCGATGGTTTCCAGCGCGGTGTTGATCTTAGCACTGTTTGACACAGTCAACGAGCTGCCCCAAGTTGAGTTGGAACTCCTTGACTCCGATCGTTTGGCCTTTTCGCAAGATAAGTCGGCACTTTTGCCCATGGAGGGCTGGAAATTCCGATGACAGATTGTAATTGTTACTGAGCTCCGGTAAGCAGGTTATTAAAAGTGTCAAGTTAAAGCGGATATTTTGAACCTGTGGAGGTTGTCTGATTGGGCGTATGGACTTGCCAGCAGTAAGTTGCCGAACATTTTTGGACATAAGAAGTAACTAGCACTGCGCTGTCAAGTCTTTCTGTCTCTACAGCTCTTGCGTGACTGCGCTTTTACACATTCTCGGAGCAATCGCTCACAACTCTCCGTTGTCACCATATCGTTTGAGCTGATGGCATTGCCAAGCGGCGTATTTTGAGCCGTGTCCGATGGCCCCTTCTCTTTTCCACTGCAGTACTGGAACTACAAGTTCCGGAACGTGACCAGTGACAGCACCGACGACACGGAGCCGACCGAACTGCAGTACAACTTCTTCGGCTACCTGAGCGTGGCCTCCATGGTGCCCAACACCATCTTCCTCACACTGAACGCTGTGCTCGGCCACAAGTGAGTCCACGCCGCGGCGGAGCGGAGGTACGGGGGGGGGGGGGCGTCAAATTTGACACACCAATCCAGTCAGTGCGAGAGGGCCATGGTCCGTTGTGGGTTCTTCCAATATCTCCTAGTACAGTCGTTACAGCGGAATCTAGTGAGATGAAGCTCAGCATACTGCACGGGTCTGACCACCGTGTGTCTACCTCTCCACCCTTCCTGCCGGCAGCATCAAGCAGCAGGTGAAGCTGGTGTCGTCGCTGATGCTGGTGATTGTGTTTTTCATCATCACCACTGTGCTGGTGCCCATCGACTCTGACGACTGGCAAAACACCTTCTTCGCAGTCACCATGGTCATGGTGGTCATACTCAACAGTGAGTGATCGGAGGGAGGGGAAGGGGGTATCCTCAGTAGTGAGTGGGCGGTCGGCTTGTTGGTAGTTATTGGCCTGCATAAGGACATAATCTCGTCAATTGTCTGGATGAAACGCGTGCGATGTGATGCTTAGTTTTCACTCCGGTATTCTCGCTGGCCGATTGTGTTATTTGTTTTCGTATCTGGCTGTTCGCACATCTTTGAGTGCGGTGTGAATCTCGGCGGTGCGGTCAACTTAAAAAGTAGCCGGCATCTATCAGTTCTCTCTTTTTTGCCGCGATCGTTTTTCAGCTTCTGCGTCAAGAGGGATAAGGTGCCTGTCGAGAGCTATATCACGTTTCGACATGTCATGCTACTGTCGCAAAAACGTCACAGGCTAATGTTACGCCCAACACTTGAATAAAATGGTACTTTTGTCGCTTATGTAATAGGTACGATTTTTTCGTTTCCCAAGTTTATGCATTGTTCGCTGCCATCCCCCTCCGGGTGTAGCAGCTCTTATGCAGTCTGATAACCCACAGAGCCCGTCCTCCCTCGTGCCTATGTAATTGATCCTAGTCTTCTCCTCTTCGCTAGGTAACTCCTCTCCATTGTTCCGTTTTCAGTGGGCGCATGTAGCGGTGTTGTAGGGCGGCATGCTCCCTGGCTGTGACCCGGCCTCCGTTGTGTGTTCCGGGGCTGTTCCCTGTTTACCCCTCCCCGCTGTTCCGTTTGCAGTGGGCGCCGCGGTGTTCCAGGGCGGCCTGTCACCCTGTTTGTTAACCCCCTGTCGCTCCGTTTGCAGTGGGCGCCGCGGTGTTCCAGGGTGGCCTGTTTGGTCTGTCTGTTCGTTAACTCTCTGTAATGTTCCGTTTTCAGTGGGCGCCGCGGTGTTCCCGGGCGGCCTGTTTGGTCTGTCTGTTCGTTAACTCTCTGTAATGTTCCGTTTTCAGTGGGCGCCGCGGTGTTCCAGGGCGGCCTGTTTGGTCTGTCTGTTCGTTAACTCTCTGTAATGTTCCGTTTGCAGTGGGCGCCGCGGTGTTCCAGGGCGGCCTGTTACCCTGTTTGTTAACCCCTCCCCGCTGTTCCGTTTGCAGTGGGCGCCGCGGTGTTCCAGGGCGGTCTGTTCGGTCTGGCCGCCCAGTTCCCGGCCCGCTACCTGTCTGCCGTCATATCAGGACAGGCGCTGGGAGCCGTGTTCGCCTGTGTGGCCAGGTCAGTCAGCGGGAATACGGCTGCCCGCGACGGATATAGATTAACGGGGTGGCACCGGGTACCGTGGGCTGTAGGCTGTACCGGACCTTCCGGGGTCGAGGACCGTTTGTTTCGTGTCACATTTCATTACCGGGCGCCGAAATGCTGATTGAAGTAAACTCAGTGATTTTAATTTTTGTCGATCTGATTAATTTAACTTGTGAATGCATTACAGCTGATTGTCTGCGCTGTTTGGCAGTCGCGGGGGAGTCGCTTCCCCGGCTGGCTGGACCCAGATCCGTGTGACTGAGTCTGTCTCTAACCCCTCTCCTCGCCTCTGTATAGGATCGTCTCTATAGCTGTATCATCTGGCCAGGACCCAGACTCCGCGGCCGTCAACTCGGCGCTGGTCTACTTTATCCTGGCTGACGTGACGCTGGTCGTCTCCATCGCCTGCTACGTCTGGATGTCTCGCATGGTGAGATGGCGTGGTGTCCTTGGTGTGGGTTGGGGTCCAGCTACTGTTTCAAAGCTTTACATGAGCCAGGTATTTACGTACGTCCCAGGAAGAAAGTTGAAGCTACGGACCAATTGAGGAGACCTTGCGTCCTAAATTAATCAATGTCAAAGTCGGTGTCGCGGTTCCAGACCACACGTCGTCAATTGGCGTGGTCGTCTATCAGGTTCGTTGCAATCTGCGCCAGTCTGCCGTTGAGAGGCACTGTGTCAATAATGAGCTAAGATCTCGGCTCGGTCCACGGTGGCCACTCGGCGCCGAGGGCTCCAAGGACCCTGGCCTTGTACGTTGGATGCGGTCGAGTGGGGCGACAGGTAACCGCCCACAGTCGAGTGCAGTCTCCGAGCACGGAACACTCGCGGTGCACGGGAGGACAGTCGGACAAGCAGGCCTTATCGAACAGATAGAAAACGGGGGTTCGTCGGGCACAGAGGCTCCTCTCGACAAATTTATCCGTGATTGTTAGAAATGAGGACGTCATTACGTAAAACAGAAGCTAACAACTTGTTTCGGGCAGCTTTGTCATGCCACGTCGGTGGGCAACTCATGTCTTTAACGCCTATCGAAGTAAATTCCAAAGTTTTGGGCCTAGAAAAGCATTTATCGACGTTGGGCCTCCCACACCGCCCAGCGGCAGACACTCTGTTTTTTTTTTTTCAATTCCTGTGTACAGGCTGGATTGCCCCTCTTTCGCTTATATCTGCACTGTTTTTTTGTTTTTTTGTTTTTTTATCTGCGACGCGTCCTCCATCCCGGGGCATTCCATATTTGCGTGCCAGTCCAGGGACGGTGACGGCACCGGCACCACGGCCTCTGATCATCTTTGAGGGATTCGTATCTCTGGTCGGGAGGGCGACTGCCGCCGCGGCGGCGCCTTCCAACCGATTGCGCCTGGTCTGGATAAGATTGGCTGCGAAATGGGAGCCACTCGGATACAATTACACGGGAGCAGTCACATAAAACCACAATGTACTGAATCGGGGAAATGGGAGGTGCCATAAAGATCGTCACATGTCACAATTCGGTTTTATTTGGACACTGGCTGCCGTGGACTCAACACTCCCTCCACATATCTTCTCTGTCGCCCCACCGCCCGCCGTCATATGATGATGAGTGTCTCTGCACCCATTCGTTTACGAGTACTTCAATCCCGCGGCCACCGATGGACTCACTCACTCACTCCCTGACCGTTCTCTGTCTCCAGTCGTTTTACGAGTACTACACGCGGGCGTCCCGGCTCACGTCTGCCACCGATGACGAGTCTGTGGCACGGGCCGACTCAGAGACACCCAACGACATCTCCGTCTGGAGAATCTTCCTCAAGGTAGGCGCCGCAGTGCAACTGGAGATTTCAGTTTCTACAACTGGGACATGACCCTCTGCGATCTAGGTCTTTGCAGTTCGTGGTAAAAATGAAGGCGGTAGTGTTCTACCAGTTGCCCGATTTTCTCAGGAATGCATGAACTAGGCGAACGGGAATAAAGGGCAACGCAACTGCAGGCTGGACCATTAATAGTCCGTCATATAAGTGGCATATGTTCATATCATAAATGTGAGATGGTCAATAACGTGAGGGTGAATGTAAATATCCGGAATGGGTTGAGTGTTCGTATTGTTGTTGTCGCATGTTTGACGTTACACCTGTTGCATGTTACACCGCCCGCCCGCTGACGTGCGTCCCCGCCCGCTGACGTGCGTCCCCCGCCCGCTGACGTGCGTCCCCCGCCCGCTGACGCCGTGTGTCCCCCGCCCACTGACGTGTGTCCCGCGCCCGCTGACGTGCGTCCCCGCCCGCTGACGCCGTGTGTCCCCCCGCCGTCCCCGTCCCCAGATCAAGTGGTACGCGCTCTCCGTGTGTCTGGTGTTCGTCGTGACGCTGGCGCTGTTCCCGGCGGTGACGGCCAAAATCATCCCCAAACGACAGGAGGACGGCGACCCAAACACGTGGACGAGTAGGTGGCGGCGAGAGGGGAGGGAGCAGGGGTGACCCCACCATGATTTGTAGTTAGGTGGGAGCACGGGGGAGGGGAAGGGTAATGGGGGCTGGCCTGGTGGTGCCGGTGGACATCATTGTGACAAACTGGCTGGGCGTCGCTGCGTATAACTGATGGTGAACGTTTCAGTCAGTTGTGTTGTGTCCCTCCTCATTTGCCCGTGTCGTGTCTATTTCAGGGGACTACTTCGTTCCCGTGTGCTGTTTCCTCCTGTTCAACGGCTGTGACTACATCGGCCGGATCCTCGGCGGCTTCACCGTCTGGGTGAGTGTTCAGTGACAGTTTTGGAGCAGGACTGGGGACTGGAAGGCGTAAGCTAAGCTAACCTCAGGTTAGGGCCTTTGCTTTTCTAACCTTGTGCTCTGTGTCTCATTACAGCCCAAGATGAACCACTGGTACCTGGTGCTGGGGTTCACGCTGTTGCGGTTCGCCTTCTTCCCGCTGTTCATGTTCTGCAACAACGGCCAGAAGAACCTGAGCATTGTGTTCGAGGAGGACGCCTACTACATCGTGTTTATGGTGGTGTTCGGCCTGTCGAACGGCTACCTCTCCACCCTCTGCATGATCTACGGGCCCAGGTGAGCCGGGTGGACGGCTAGCCGGCTGCTGTCAGGGCAGGGCAGATCACACCCCAGGTGAGCCGGGTGGACGGCTAGCCGGCTGCTGTCGGGCAGGGCAGATCACACCCCAGGTGAGCCGGGTGGACGGCTAGCCGGCTGCTGTCAGGGCAGGGCAGAACCGGATCGAGTGAGTCATGATTATGTGGACGAAATAGCTCATTGAGTTTGAATTACCCAAACCCAGCTAGCTCAATCATGTACCAATCTAGGCCATTGATTTTACCTCTCGACAGTCTGACGGCCTTGTTTACCTCAGTGACAATGCGTTGATCCAGTCAGCAGTCTGACACTCTCCCCCCCCCCTCCCCGATTGCCAGTCTGGTGGAGCCGGAGGAGCAGAACACGGCCAGTTCTATGATGGCCGCCTTCCTCGGCCTCGGATTGTGCTTGGGCGCTCTTCTAAGTAACCTGTCCATCAGTCTGCTCTGACCTCCATCGGTCTGCTTTAACCGAGACGGAGGCAGGACGGACGGTCAGTCGGCCCTAGTCGGACTGAGGTAATGTTGCGCGGTGCGAGGTACGCAGACGCCGCGAAATGTCAGTCGCTGTGAGACTCGTGACTGAGGTTCTACTGAGCAGGGGCTACCCGTCCGCACTGACTGGCCACAGGACGCCACTGGATGATAATGATAGGGGTGGGTCTAGCCGCGGCGACCCGATGTTGTGAGGAGAGTCGGCACGGTCGAAGCGTGCTGCTGCCCCAGTCGCGACGACGGCGTCTGCTTTTTTATTCCACGGGCGGTGACAACCTTACCGGTAGCGGCCGGTGCCGGGTATTGCGAACTTGCCGGCGGTATATCGGAGTGTTTTTGAAGGCGTACTGAGCTTATGAGGTCAGACTGCAGAGCGGTCAGGTCGGAGTTGATCAGGGCTCTATCGTAGTGCCTGTGCTATTTAATTTTACACGACTTATCAAATGATCGTGAGTTCCTGCTAGATTTCTGTTTTACTGCCCTTTGAACAAGTTAAGGGGAATGTACCATTGTACATATAGGTACCAATTACTATTTTGTGTGCATGGTTACCCGGCAATAGGTATGCACCTTAGGTCCGAATTAAATTGTACAACAATCGTCGGCGATCTCACGTCCAGACTTGTAAACGATTCAAAAAATTCAATCAATTCAATCACGACTCACTTGATGAAATGACCGATTCAATCATAACTCAATCAAACAGTCTGATTTTCCAAGCGATTCAATCACGACTCATGGACCTTGTGATTCAACTCAATCACGACTCATCCCATTATCAGTGATTCAGGGAATGACTCAACTCATGATTTGACTCAACGCGATTCAATCAAGATGTTATATAAAATATATACATATGTGATATCAATTTAAGACATTTTTGGAAACTGATACCAAACAGATATCAACCAAATACACTAGGAAAATACAAAAAAAAAACATAGAAAAGTACTAAATCTATGCTTGCTCACAAATGTCCTGATGAAACAGGGTATTGAAAATATAAAGATTAGCATGGTATCTAAAACATGTGTGTTGAGCACTGAACTCTATAATGAGCGTGAGGTGTTGAGCAATGTGCACCTGCTTACTGCTACTGTTAACTTGATTACTATACTGATTTTAGGGCACTGGAAAGAAACTTTACATTCATTTTTTCATCTTCATGCATTGACATTTATGTATAATTTTGTGTTTACAGTTTGATTAAAAACTTAAAACCAAATTTTTATGTTTTTTCAATACTGATAGCTATGCGCATTTATAATACTGACAAAATAGGTACCTAAAAATTTTGCAGTGCATTGTGTGTGACTATGATGCAAATGCCACATATATTTCCACATAATATAGTACTAAATATGGTCATAACTTCAATTTCCAGCACATGGTGATTGAATCATTTTGTTAATTGAATCAACTTGAATCGATGAGTTGCCGATTCAATCACTTGCAGTTGCCATGTGTGACCGATTCAATCAGGATTCATATGGTGACAAGAGGTGATTCAACCGACTCAATCACAGTGAGTCGGCATTTTCAAGCGATTCATGAGAATCGATTCAATCAGAGTTGAATCCCTTACAAGTCTGCTCACGTCACCGCGCTACGTTGCCATCGTCTGTTGATACCGTAAAGGTCCTTTGACGTTTAACCAGAGTCGAAGTCGCTGGCCGCACACTTTCTATCCGCGGTCAGCGCTGTACTTACATAATTTTCTAACCCCAACGTTTACCGGGAGTCGAACCAAAGCATTTGTGTGGAGCGGGGATCGTGTTGTGCGCAGGGGACATCAAACGACAGTAGATAGCTGCCGCCTGTTGGTCGCATTTGCGTCATCCGCAAATCGTCGGATGGCGACACTACTATTACGGTGTATTGTTGAAATGTGCATATGTCAGAAATGGTGTTTAAGGAGCTGTGATCGCACAAAACGCGACACCCGTATCATCCATGGTCGTTATTCCACACAATGCTGCTGAATGTCTGCGGATTCGACCACAGCAGGGCCGCGGGGGCAGCCTCGGACCAACTCATGGGACCAGTGCCTTACCTTGCGGGCCTCCAGGGCTAAGCGCTCATACAGTACAAGGCGAGTCATTTTTCCGCGCGCTCCTGTGAGGATGGGCAACAGTGCTTTTGTGGGAATGCGTTGGCGTATATTGCAGTGCGTGATATGATATTTAATAGCCGAACCGAATACATGGTTATCCCACCGAGTTCTCGTGTTGACAATTATCCGTCGGAACTCCTGAACGGTTCGTTTGCCTACCAAATCAGTCAATTTTCGACACAAATAAGACGTCTTCCTACTGATGTATTGCACTTCGTTCACCAAACCCATAACGCACGCACGGGTAAAACGTTGCGCCCGCACATCACAACCCAAAACGAACTTACAAGCTCAAGGAAGCCCCACGGTGCCACACACGAAGGCAGCAAATAACCTTTCAGACTCCTTGCTCCCATGCTTTTTTCTGGCCACCGAAACCCACACAATATGGCAGTTCGTATGGGGACCCTCTGTTCCATTGGCAATTCCGCAGAACAAGCAGATATTTAATATAAATAAAAACAAAGTGCTTAGATATAGACTGCCAAAGAAAACGTCATGATAAACACTAGCCTGAGCAGCGAGCAATGTTTCCAATGATATACCACAATCCACATAGATTTGTGCAATTGAACTCGACATAACGTTGACAGCTTGTGTAAATAATTGAGTGCCAATATCATATGCTCATGTATCGATTCCCCTCCAGTTGACAGCTCTGTCCGCTCGTGAGCTCCACAGGGTCCTGGCCGGCCTAGTCACCTTGAAAGACTTCTAACATATACGGCACAGTTGTCACGGACACTTACAATGCCTCGATAGGCGAATAACCGTTACGAATATGAGACAATTCGGATATCATTCAGTGTCGTATAAACGCACAATTCTCGGTTAGGCAGTTGCCAACATAACCGTCGGCGCACGCTCTATCAAAATACTTACTTTCCGCCACAACTCACAGAGTCGCTGGATACTCACTGTTGGATGGATCACTATAAACTGCAGCTACCTGATGTCGCAGCACTAACGCTGACCCCGTCAGCTTACTAGCCCCTTCACGGCCGTCGCCGGGTCCGCCGGCCTCAGCTGTCGGCGCCGCTCGGCTGCAGCTGCTGCTGATAGGCCCTCCAGGCGACGTCCAGCCGGCCGGCCAGCTGCGAGAGCTCGCGGATCTTGGCGCCCTGCTCCTCCACGGTGAAGCGCAGGTCCTCGACCCGCGAGTCGAGCTCTGCCAGCCGCTGCTGCTGCGCCTCCTCGCGCGCCTCCTCCTTGGCCGCCGAGCGGTTGTACTCGTAGATGAGGATGGTGGCGGCGATGGCGAACACGATCCCTGCCAGCAGCAGCAGCGCCGCTCCTGAGGAGCGCGGCGACACCGCCATCGGAGCCGCCGGCAGCCAGACGCCGACACAGGGGCAGCTGAGTAACGGGTACTGCTCCTGAGGAGCGCGGCGGTACCGCTCCTGAGGAGCCGCCGGCAGCGAGACGCCGACACAGGGGCAGGAGTAACGGGTACTGCTCCTGAGGAGCGCGGCCGTAGGAGCCGCGCTCCTGAGGATCCGCCCAGGCCGAGACACCGACAAGGAGGGAGGGGGAGGCGTAACAGGTCTAACAGGTACCGCTCCTGAGGAGCCACCCGGACTGAGACACTGAAATTGGAGAGGAGGGGGAGGCATTATTGGGAGAGGAGGAACCGCAGGTGACGGTAGGATGTATAGTAGGGGGGGGGGGGGGCATGAGAGCAAGGTTTGGATGTGACATGATAAGGAGTAAGAAAAGTAAGCCCTCATGAGAGTACATTTAACAAATCCATCCATACTTTGTCACAGACCTTTCATTTGTGCCTCACAGTGACAGGATGATACCCCATTTATTTCAGGAAAGCAGTAGTAACTAATGGGTGTTAATTGAGATGTGCTAATCTTCAAAGATGGTCCATCTAGATATGATAATTGACCAGTCCAGACCAGGGTCAAGGGTGACAGCATAAGTAGGTAAAAGATATCTATTAAAATATCCAACTGATGACAAATGAAGAATTGTATTTGCTATCAAAACAAGTGTTTATTACAAACAGCAAACATACACACTTACCCTCTCCAATCATGTTAGCTCCAATTTCAATAGCCATGGTCTCATTAAGCTTGGGGATTTCTCCAGATCTCCCAAGGCCAAGAACCCATAGCCGGGTTTTCACCTCACACCAGTGGTAGACTGAACAAAAAAGCATGTCAGTTATACATGTCAATGTGAGACATCAACTTACCAATGAAAATATTTTCAGGATTAAAATTTTATAAATATTAATTGAACATGAGAAAATGATAACAAACACAATATAAAAGGAAAATAAAGTATTATTTCAGCAGGATTACTCGTGATTACAGCTTAGTTTTATGTACCTAGTGATAAGCTTACATTTTTCAAATCAGCAGTGATAGAGAAAAATTATGTTAAACGATTGGCACAACAGCCTTGGCACAGCATATACTTCAGATGAACATTTACTATTTATAAAGATATTTAACTTACTTTGAGCAGGTGGCATGCACACATAAGTGCGGAAAAAGTAATGATTCTTTGCCCTTTCCTTCATCGAGTTGGCAATGGGTCTGCTAATTTGTCTGATAATAAGTATTCCCAGCTTTGAAAGCGGAAATGATCCACCCATTGTGGCTAAAAATGCAAATAAATAGCCCTCAGATGCAGCTTTGATCTCTACGCATTATAGAGTTCAGTGCTACGCCCCCACCAAAATCTATGAGCCATATTTTGTCTCATGAACACCGTTTTCGTAGCACGTTGGGCTGCCATATTTCTTCGGCACATAAGAATCCCCCTACGACCGAAGAACATTGGAATTTGATTGGAATCTAATCCAGTCCAAATCCAGTCACTCCTTCCCAGGTTCGTTACATTAGCCCTGCCAATTCGCTCGCTTTGGAATCATTGCATAGCACCAAATAAAAAAAAATCAGCAAAATCGGCTAAAGCGAGGTAATACTGTATTTCAACAGTGCCTGTAGCGGTAAATGTGTTGTCCTCTGAGTCTGGTGTGCTTTTTTCCAATTTGGCACGACAAACCCCGGCACCACATGGCCACGTTCATGACCATACGTCCTGTTTATATTGGCCATCTTTCTGCATTTGCTTTACCGTAGCCTTCGCCTCGTCAAGCGGCACCCCCTTGGCCTGGGCCACGGCCTCGACCACGACCTCCTCGACCCCGGCCGCCATCCCCCTGGCGTCGCCACACACGTACAGCAGCGCCCGGTCCTCGAGCAGCCAGCGCGCCAGCCGCTCGCTCTCCTCGCTGAGCACGTGCTGGACGTAGCGCTGCGGTCCGCCGGCGCGCGAGAACACGGCGTCCAGCCTGGTGAGCGCGCCGTGCCTCTGGGCCGCCTCCAGCTCGTCCCTGAACAGGTAGTCGTGCTCGCGGCTGCGGCAGCCGAACACCAGCCAGGCGGGGCCGGCGAGCCGGCGCGCGCGGCGCTCCTGCAGCATGCCGGCCAGCGGCGCCAGCCCGGTGCCGGCGGCGACCATCAGCAGCGGTCGGGCCGCCTCCTCGTCCGTCTGCGGCAGCCGGAACTGGCCCGGCCGGCGGCGGTACACGGGCACCGTCAGCGACCCCGGCTCCTCCTCCGGCTGCGGGCCGGCGGCGCGCAGCAGGCCGTCCAGCCAGCCGGTGCAGAGGCCGCGCGCCGGCTCCTCCACCACCGAGAACACGATCCGCAGCCGGCCCGGGTGGAGCCGCGGCGAGCTGCTGGCCGAGTAGGGCCGCGGCGCCAGCGGCGGCAGCTGCTCCAGCAGCAGCTCCAGCGGCGGCCGGCAGCTGGGGAAGGCGGCCAGCAGCCGCAGCGTGCCCACGCCGCCGGCGCGCACCAGCTGCAGGTACTCGGCGCCGCCCTGCCGGCTGGCCAGCTCTTCCAGCCGGCGCCGCTGGCGGGCGTCGGCCGTGTGCGCCGGCAGCGCCTGCAGCAGCGGCTTCTTGGGCACGGCGCGCACGTCCAGCCGGTGGGTGAGCAGGCGCCGCGGCGTGTCCGGCGCCTCCAGGTGCGCCGGCACCCGGGCCGCCTTCTTGGCCGTCTCCGGGATCAGCGTCACCCGGCAGGGGGTGTCGGCGCGCTCCTCGGCGCCCGTCAGCCGCAGCAGCTGTGCCACCTCCTCGGCAGAGTTGGGACAGAGCACGCCGACCGTGTCGCCGGCCTCCACCCGGCCGCCCAGTCCGGAGCCGTCCAGCGTCACCGCCCACACCGTCTTCAGCGCCTGGGGCGCGGTCAGCCGCTCGGCCCGCAGCACCGGCGCGCGGCACACCGGGCCGTCGGCCAGCGGCAGCGGGCCGCGCGCCAGCTCCGAGTCGGCCGCGGCACCGGCCGGCCCCTCCGGGAGGTACTCCAGACGGAGGAAGCGGGCCGGCGCCGGCGGCACCGTCAGCTTCACGGCCGCCAGCGCCTCCGACAGCTGCGTCAGCGCGGCCGGGACCGGGCCCGCGCCCTCAGAGGAGACCATGGCGGCGGCGGGACAGCGAGCTGACTCCCGAGACTGCAGCTGGCCGACTTCTGCGGCTCTGGCGGCGGCGGGCTCAGCCTCTGCGACGGTAGCGAACTGGCTCCTGCGCGGTGATCCAATCCAAATGTCAGGGACTTCGACGCAATCGCAGTGACGATAGCGTCAACAATCAAGGGTTCTTTGGGATCAGCTATGGATGGTATAAGGGTACCATGAATGGGGACGCAGCTACCGTACCTGCTGTAGTCCGACGCCCCAGAGGAATGGAAACGCACATAAAGTTTCCAGACCAGCGACCATTTTCCCAGAGGCGAGTCGCTGCATGCACCGCAGACCAGTAAAACAGCCATTCACTTCAATCATGTATATCGAGTTCATGTCACGGATAACCAAATCACACCATAGGAAACGTTACGTCAAGCAGAGCACCACAAGAACTAAAGCCTCGCTGTAAGCGGGTACAGCAGACACTAGAGATACGAGTCGAGTCGTCGGACGGGCCGTGCCGACTCTGTGCCGTACGGACCCGTACACTTATATTAGGATTGTGTTGTACCGACCGTCCATAAACACGATTATTTGTCGAACGGGCAGTCCACGTAGCGAAATGTGTTTGACTCGACACACCCTGAAGCCAGGCCATGCCTCACGGCCGACATATGCGGCCCTAGCCAACGTTGTTTATAACGGAACACCCCAGCGCAGGTACTATCGAATATTGCGACGTACCCATCTAGGCAAGTACAGCTAGCGCGGCATCAGTGGTGATACCTTCATAAACTTATCCAGACCTAGAACTGTGTCACCTAAGACTTATCAAACTTCCATAAGATATGCATGGCAAATCACAAACTACAGACAACGAGCCAACAAAACCTATGATTGTGTCGGATACGCCGAATTTTCCTAAAACATTGCTCTAGGCACGTCACATGCACGATGGAGGCCGCAGCGGCGCGCCCGCCAAAGGCCACAGTCGTCCTGAACTGACCGCCGATTAACCTACCTCTGCCGATCAGACTCCCGCGAGCCGCAGCGCTACCACCTCCAGCCCACTCGCCGCCGTCCCGACACGAATCTGCGCGTCATCACACTACCTCTACGGTCCGCCGGTCGGGGCCGAGCCCTCTGCTCGTCCTTGGTTATCGCCTGAGCGGGTGACAGGCGGCCCGGCGCCGGGCCGGCCAGCGGCCCGCCACGGCAGAGCGGAGACGGGTCCGAAACAGCCGCACAATGCACAGACAATCAGATCTGAATCAACTGGACACATCGGGAACTGGCAGATACTCGAGACGTCGATGATTTTGTAAGATACTTTAACAGTATAGAAAGTGGAGCGGAGTTGTTCTTGGCAGATAACGTACACGCACAAACAACATCTTAAAGCAACTAGGCATTCGGACAAAGACATTCATTATCATAGAGATCCTACTGGTAAAAACATCGAGCAATGTCCTGCGATTCCATGACGATCTTCTAGTGAAATGTGCGGCAAATTCCGTACACCTGACCCCAGCCCAACCGTGGCGGGCAGTTCAAACACTCGCGAGCGCGCACACAGGCGTCACGTCGGCTTGAACTTGACCGAGTAGCCGCCGGCCTCGTTCTGTTCCATCTGAAAGTTATCCGTAGAGAGTCCGAACGGCCGCATGAACATGTTGCCCAGCTCCTTCAGTTTGCCTAGCATCTCGCTCTTGAGCTTCTCGTTTCTCTCGGCAATGAGCGGCGGCAGGCGGGTGACGGCGCGGCGCGCCTCGCCGCAGTCGGGTCGCAGCTCCAGCAGCCGCTTCCAGTCTTCCAGCGCCTCGTCCAGCCGCTCGGTGCGCTCGTAGATCTCGGCGCGCCGCTGCAGCGGCCGCGCGTACCCGGGGTCCAGCTCGAGCGCGCGCGAGCAGTCGGCCAGCGCGCCGGCCTCGTCGTCCGCGCGGGCGCGGCAGGCGGCCCGGTTGGAGAACATGACGGCGCGCTCGGCGCCGGCCGCCAGCGGACACAGCTGCAGCGCGGCCGTGTAGCGCTCGCGGGCGGCGTCGTATGCGGCCGCCGCGTACAGCTGGTTACCGTCGGCCTTGAGCAGGGCGGCGCGCTGCCGGCGCTCCTCCCGCTCCTCCTCCGTCTGAGACTCGTCCAGCTGACGGAGCGCCGCCTCGTCCACCGCGTCCGGGTCAGTCATCAGCTCGCCGTCGTCGTCACTGTCGCGCGCCGCCGCGCCGGCCGCCGCCGGAGCGTCAGCGGCGGCCGACGGGTCCGGGCTGCGCTCCGAGCCGTCCGGGCTGCGCTCCGAGTCGTCCGGACTGCGCTCCGAGTCGGACGCCGGGCGGGACTGGGAGTCGGCCACGGCGTCGGCCAGCTGCGCCATGTCCGGGGCGGCTCCGGCCGGCCGCGGCGCCGCCTCATCCAGCGGCGAGCCGGCGGCGGCGGGCTCCGAGCTCTCCAGCACGTGCCAGCTGCGCGCCATTGTCTCCGGCGTGGAGCCCGACTCGGAGGAGTCCGCCTCAGAGGACTGAGAGGCGCGCGGCCGCTCGTCGCCCTCGGACTCGTCCCAGTCGCCCTGGCCGGCCACCCACGGCGCGGCGGGCGCCTCGCTGACACTCAGGTCCCGGCCGACTCCGTCCGGCGCCATCCCAGCGGGCGGCGCCGGCTCACTCCGGCACTGGTGGCTCTCCTCAGCGGGCGCAGACGGGTCAGCCGCCGCGGCCGGCTCACCTGAGGGGGTTGCTACCTCAGAGATAGCTACAGCGCTGGAGTGGGACGCAGGCTCACTCGCAGGAGATTCTGCTGAGCAAGGAACATCGGCATCGGGACTAGGAGTATCTTCTACTGAGCTGAGCCGGTCCGCCACTGAGTCGGTACTCTTCTGACTCGGACCGGCAAGGTCTTCTGATGGGCTTAGCCGGTCCTCCACGGGACTAGTCCGGTCCTCAGCTGGGGTAGTCCGTTCCTCAGCCGGGCTGGTTCGACCCGTGGGTGAGCTGATAGGGGCCTCCGCTGAGCTAGTACGGTCCTCCGCCGGGCTGGTACGGCCCTGGGCCGGGCTGATCGGATCCTCCGCTGGGCTAGTCCGGTCCTCTGCTGGACGGACCCGGTCCCCATCTGAGCTAATTCGTTCCTGAAGCGCGCTGATTCGGTCCTCGGCTGGGCTGCTCTGCTTCTGAACCGGGCTAGTCCGATTGTGGACCAGGCTGGTGCGTTCCCCCGCCTGGCTGGTCTGGTCCCCCGCTGGGCTGGTCCAGTCCCCCGCTGGGCTGGTGCGGTCGTCGGACGGGAGGCGGCAGTCCTCGGGGGTCGGACAGTCCTCGTAGATCTCCTCATCCTCAGAGGAGCTCAGACAGTCCTCAAACACCTCTTCCGGTGCCAGGACGTCACACATGGTCAGACTGCCGGCGCCAGGATGTCACACATGGTCAGACTGCCGGCGCCAGGATGTCACACATGGTCAGACTAGGATGTCACACATGGTCAGACCCCCTGCATCAGGATAGGATGTCACACATGGCCAGTAAATCTTACAAAGCAGAGGTTAAAACTGCAAGTAAATTTATTTGGCTAACAGTCTGCATGTTTGGGTTCGACATATTGTCTAGTATGAAGGTGTGCATCTGAGGCCTGAGCTGCATGTTTTTTCATAGCAGGAGTAAGGTAGGTAGGTATGAAACATGGGGCCAGTTCAGGGATAGGAGGAGTACAAGTATGTATTATTTATCACTTATCAGTATGGTTTGGGTAGTAGAATCCTGTAGAAGAAGCACAAGAAAGAGCAGTGGTGGAGTAAAGTTAGATGGAACTGGAACTGCAAGGGAAGTAAGGGTTCACTGCAACACAAGGGTAGCAATAGGAGTAAAGGTAAATAAAGTGTCATTGCTATGTCTCTTTATCTTTTGCAGGCTTACTTTATGATCATTTGAGCCACAGCCCTCATTCTGGACGCCAGTGAAAACAGGGCGCCGGAGGGCATATTAGTCACGTGACATTTGAAACTTCTCCCCCTCCGTGGGCCTTTAACATGCTAAACATCACGTGCAAATTTCACGAACCTTATCAAATCGCCCCAGGCGCCTTGTTTTCACCGTTGTCCCTCATTCTCACACCATTCAAGAGACCACAAAGCAGCAGCAGAGGTTTGGCCATTGGACATCAGCATTGTGACTGCAACATTAAAGGAAATAGTTCACTTTCACGAAATTATTTTTTTTGCAATGGATTTATGATTTTTTATGTTCAAAATGATCAGCAAAGAAAATAAAACCTATTTATAACAAAAGATTATTTTCTATATTTTGATAATAAGAAGAACTTTTCAGTTTCTGTAAGGCACAGGCGATCCAGTATGAAAAGAGCATGGGTCCCGAAAATTCTTCAGAAACTAGAGAAATGATCGCGGCCACCGGCATTTGGGCGATCTGCTGCTGCTGAATGTCCTTATTGATCAGTACGAGAATTTCTCTAGAGTTCTCGTAGATAATTTCTCTAGTTTCTGAAGAATTTTCGGTACCCATGCTCTTTTCATACTGGATGCGAATATATGCAAGGCACACATCCTCAACGCAAGACACCTTTTTCGGGACGAGAAATAGAATATCTTTGCCTAGGGTGATCGTTGGGCTGTAAAAGCTCCTGATTTATGCTCGTCTCAGCCCAGGCTACGGAACTGCTATTCCAGTTCAAAACCCATGTTAAAAAGTGAACTATTTCCTTTAAATTAAATGAAAAGGAGAATGCAAGCAACAATTTTTCACATTCAAAACATACAACTTCAATTAAAAATGACCAAAACATGAACAAAGGCACTGGATCTGATTAGGTAGGTACACAAAATGTGCAAAAATATTACTAGTCATCACATCAAAGATTATAAGCAATATTTTGTAAACGTAGTACCAGTACATACCGTTACTTTTGTAGGATGAAAAGGCACCAAACAATAATTGAACGATTGATAATATCAATATAGCAATGCACAAGTAGCGTAGCACATTTGCAACCAGTCCCTAACCTGAACCAGCTGCGCGATAAATAAAAACAGTTCCAACTGCGTAAAAAATGCTTCGTGGTATGGAACAACTGCGTCGACACTGTCGAAATTATTTGCGGGCAAACTCCTTGGAGTAAGAATAATTCCTTCTAATACGTTCATAAATACTCTGCAGGGAATTGGATAATTTTTATAACTTATGTTATATAGGTTTATTTATTGCAAATAAGACGTAATTTCAATAATTTTTGAAATTTCATGAATTTCAATCCCTCAATATAATAAATAGCGAACAGACCACAATTTGGTTTGAAGTAAACTAGTAGCGCATGGAAAGTTTTCCCCTTACCAGTGAATCATGATGACATCATATGGATCGATTTCAATGACGTCAAAAAATACTAACCAATCACAAGCCAGATATTTTGTTTCGAGATAACTACATGACGTCATAGCACCAAAATATCAAGGTCGACCATGCCCCGCGGCGTCAGTTTGTGACAGTTTGGCTGGAGGCGTCGAGCGGTGTGCGTTGTTTTGTGTTGGAGGTGTTCGTGTTGAAAACATCCACGAGCTATCTTTCATTATCCACTGAATGCCTGTCATCCTTGCAAGAAGCTTAAGTGGAAAGTAAAGGCTGTGCTAACAAGTTAACAACACTTGTTGCACTTCTTTGGTTGGGCCGTCGTGGTCGTGACCCTTGGTCGTGACTCGTGGCTGCCTTGTTTCAGTTTCAGTTTCAAGAGCTGGTGTTGGTTTAAGCAGGCCCTTCTCTAAATTTCCTGGACATTTGTAGCACAATAAATTTCAACCCACTGAAGAGACTCGGACTTCAGCACTTCCCAATTTCAATAGGTAAGATTCGCAGTGACAGGTACCCACAGCTCGAATTGCAATGACTAATGATCTATTGATATTTGATTACTGATTTTTATTACATAGAATGCAAATTAAATGTTCAAATGTGCAAAATACAATTTTCATCAGTTTGACTACTTTTCTGTGCATGCATTTACCTCCTTTTCATTTTCAGGTCGTGACTGCAATTTCTCAACTCACTTAGGTACTTGAGTTTGTGTTGGACAATGGACATATTCCAGTTTGGCTTTCAGCAAGCATGAATGAGTTGCTTATTGAATGTCTTACCATGTAAGTTATTGAATAAAGTATATCCTTGTGTAGCTGATTAATTTTAGTTATTGTTGGGCACAATACCCTGAATAACTAATAGCAATTACCAAAAACATTAGCCACCTAAAGGTGCTTGTGTTGGATGTGCTGTAATACCTACACCTACCTGTCTGGAGAAATTCAAATAATTTAAAGTGTTAGCAAAGTATATACACAATCACAAGCAGAGTATACTTTCACATAAGAGAGATATGTATGTCCCTCTTTGCTGTAAGGTTGAACATTTTAAGGTGATGTCATAAGTGGTAGACTTTTGTTTGTTTTGACTATATGTTGCAGCAGTTTTGTAATGGTGGGTGGTGACTGAGACCATACTTCAAGAAAAATTACAAATAAGCAGACTTGTGCCAAGGTCCCAAAAAGATCCGAGATCCAGGGTTCGCAGAGTCCAAGGTCTGGGACCTTGATGGATCCTGGACCTTGCATTGTCATTTTTGTCGCAAGACCTTGGAAACCCAGGACCTTAAGACATCCATATGCCGCGAGACCTTGGAATCCCAGGACCTTAAAACATCCATATGCCGCGAGACCTTGGAATCCCAGGACCTCAACATTTGCATATGCTGCGAGACCTTGGAATCCCAGGACCTCAACATTTGCATATGCCGTGAGACCTTGGAATCCCAGGACATCAACATTTCATGTGACATGAGACCTTAGAAACCCAGGACCTCAACATTTCATATGCCATAAAACCATGGAAACCCAGGGGTTAGGACCTCAAAATTTTGGTATGCTGCAAGACCCTGCAGAATGCAGACCTTCAGTACCAATTTTATTATTTGTCATGGGATCTTAGGAGAACGGTCTGGACCTACACCATCATTTTGTTGAGGGACCTCAAGAATCCTGGAAGCTGGACCATGAGGTTTATGTAGGACCCTGCACTAGGTTTTGTCTGTACCTAAGCACTTCAATAAATATCTATGGTTGAGCGACCAGCTGCAAGGGGCTAGATAGCTACACGAAGAGAAAATGAACCAGACTGTGTAGACATATATAGAGCAAAATCGTTGCCATGGCTGTGAGGCAGAACTGGAACAAGAGACCTGGTAGCTTTTTACATTATCAATGTTATGGATTATGAAACTGTCAAACAGTGGACAGTGGTGGTTTGGAAAGTTCTTTTCTAATCTCACCTCACATTTTCTGGGTTGTGATATGCCGGGCTTGAAGCTACTTGGAAGCTACCCACTGACCAAGTAAGTGTCAAACTTATTTGTTTTGCAATTCATCAAATCACCATTGAGCAATGAGCAATATAAGCAATGGTTCCATGACAGTTCAACTTTTTCGTTTAGCAGGTTTTCGTCGGACAATTTTTCGTCTGCAGATTTTCGTCCGCAGACTTTCGTCCATGCGTTTGTTCGTCTGTGCATTTCAATTTTTAAGTCCGCGCATTATTTTCATAAGGACATTTTCCGCCTCGTCCAGACGAAAAAATGCCGGACAGAAAAATACTCAGACGAAAAATGCACCAAATTAATTCGAACAGACGAAAAAATGCAAGACGAAAAAGTCAGACGAAAATCTGCCGACGAATATAACCGGCTGACGAAAAAATTGTCAGATGGAATTTTGTTCAGAGCCTTCAATCTAATGTGAATGAACAGTAAGTAAGGTTTGCGCTCGCTGATACTCTAATTCTATTGGCTTAGTCGATCAGTTTTTCTGTGAGCGCTCGCGCAAACAAGACTTAGAACATATTTTACTTTTTATCCTGGGTATTATGTAACTGAATGTGCAGAAAATCGAAAGCATATACCTATCCAATTCAACTTTTCCATTTCTATGAAGCCTGTAGGTTTTATTTCTGGTTTTTTATATTGCCTGAAAGAATACTTGAATGTCTGTGTTCAATAACTGTAAGGTGCTATCCTACATTCCTACTGATAAGGTAAGATTGAATTGAAAGGGACATGACAATACAAATTGCAAGGTACCTATTACCTACCTATATTTTTTATGAATTTTTCAGGTTAAAGAAGGCGAAATTGATAGTATGATTCATTTTTAACTTGTGTTGAAGCTCCCCCTACCTATGTTGGTTAACGATAAAACCACCACAGTCCACAGGTTTGCATAGGTTCTGCCCCTTTCAATGTTGCTGGGCATCCGTTGGCAGAATATTTAGAAGTAAGTCTGCTCATCAGAATGTTAGTTTGTTTAAGTTCTTGTTGTGGGACCCTGAATACTTTGGATCCTGAGATGTATTCTTGCCGTGGGACCTCGAGGACTGTGGATCCTAAACTCTGAAGTGTGTACTTGTCATGGGACCTTGGGGACTGTGGATCCTGAAATTCACACTTGTCGTGGGACCCTAGGGACTGTGGATCCTGCAATGCATTCTTGTCGTGGGACCTTGGGGACTGTGGATCCTGCAATGCATTCTTGTCGTGGGACCTTGGGGACTGTGGACCCTGCAAAGTATACTTGCTATGGGACCTTGGAAACCTTGGATTCTAGAAATTGAATTTGCTGTGGGACCTTGGAAACCTTGGATTCTAGAAATTGAATTTGCCGTGGGACCTTGGAAACCTTGGATTCTAGAAATTGAATTTGCCGTTGGACCTTGGAAACCTTGGATTCTAAAAATTGAATTTGCCGTGGGACCTTGAGGATCCTGGATCTTGATTTTTGGTCCCGGCACAAGTCTGCAAATAAGTAAGAATAGTTGTCATGCAAAATTTTGATCAAAATGAGATGAATTGAATGAAGTTAGGACTGATGACCAAAAAATTTAACTAACAGATTACAGACAAGTCCCTTGCACATTGAGTGGCATTTCCCACAGTCACCCCAGCTGTTA